GGTCCCGGGTCCAGCCCGCGACCCTGAGGGGAGCCCGGGGTGTGCCCCGGCTGTGACGGGAGCCCCGCGGTAACGCGTGCTGTCCCCCGTAGGTTGAGGACAGGAAGGTGGACTGGCGGCGCTGGAAGCAGGAGAGTAAGAAAGGCCGGGCACACATGGGGCTGGGGCCGCTCGGAGCGGTCACGGCGCGGTGTTTAGCGCCAGGCGATGTTCCCCCTCCCAGGGAAAGCTGAGAAGAAGAAATGGAAGGAAATTAAGCTGCTGAAGAAACTGGATAAACAGCGGATGCGAGAGCTGGCAGAACAACAAGCCCAGACGCAGGAGGAACAGAAGGAGGACAGAGGTGATGCCGCTGTGATCCGGTGGGGAGACCTGGGTGGAAAGTGCTAGAAAGTGGCTTTTAAAAGGCAGCCAGTGTTACTATCGATAGGAAAGGTATTACTTCATAGATCCGATGTAGATCATTTCACATGCCCAAACAGGCACGAACACTGTGCAGCAAACCACTGCACTAGAAATCTTTAAGAGAAAACGTGTGATTAAACCTAAGGAACAGCAGCTGCTTTTCCCGCAGCACAAGTGCCCAGCGGCTCTCTGCCTGTCCTTAGGCCGTCAGCACACGCTGAGCGTGGCCCTGCCCGGCTCCATCCTCAACAACGCGCAGTCGCTGGAGCTGCGCACGTACCTGGCGGGACAGATCGGCCGCGCATGCGCCATCTTCTGCGTGGACGAGATCGTGGTGTTCGACGAGCACGGAGAGGATGTGAAGTAAGGCGAAGGCTGAAGGAGAGCGTGCTTAGATTAGATTTTAGGAAGGGATTTCTTCCCTGTGAGGGTGATGAGGCCCTGGCTTGGCTTTTGCAGAGAAGCTGTGGCTGCACTGTCCCTGGAAGTGTCCAAGGCCAGGTTGGACAGGGCTTGGATTGGGATAGTGGAAGGTGTCCCTGCTCATGGCACGATCTTTTAAGTTCCCTTACAACCTAGGCAGTTTATCTCATTCTGAAGGAAGAGCCATCTTGTTCTGCACAGTATTTCCTCTCAGCTTTCTGTTCCTTCACTCTTTTATTAAGCCAAGTCCAGGAAGGACCTGCATGTACCTCTCCCCGGTGCCAAGATTATGGGGACCACTATATCCCAGGGAAAAAGATGTTGACTTAGATCGTTTATCACAACATGGGGTTGACAAAGCAACAGGAGGCTGAGTCTCCTGTACCCTTAAACCTTGCTGTGGAGAGACAGGACATGCCCTGTATCCTTACAGAAGATGCTTTTCTGTCCTTCAGTTTTTCACTTGGACCTGTATCTGAGTTAACTGGCCAAGACATGCAATCCTGGAGCATCAAGCTCAGTAGCATCCAAATACCATGTCACATTAATACACAAAGATCAAAAAACAAAACTGAAAAAGATACTTGGCTTATGGAGAGAGTTCCGGGGATGAGTTGTTAACAAACTGCCTCTGAAGCAGCCCTTTTACAAGGGTTAGAGGGGAGGGATGTGCTGCTATTGTCAGATTAAGAAGCAAAGCTTGGGTTTCTGGAGACCTGACCAATCTCATGCAGAGTTAACAAGCTGCTTGCTTTCACTTTCAGGAGCGTGGAGGGGGATTTTGAAGGAATTGGGAGGAAAGGCAAGGCTTGTGTGCAGCTGGCTCGGATCCTGCAGTATTTGGAGTGCCCTCAGTAAGTTTGCTTTTCTGTATACTCAGCTCCTTCAAGTCAGAACAGGGCTAGAATTGAGATCCAAATTCCATAAAAATACCTTTTAATCTTTCACCTTTCTCTGGTGACAGGTACTTGAGGAAATCCTTTTTTCCGAAACATGCAGATCTGCAGTTTGCAGGTAAGATGGAATTGTCTCTCCTTTCTGAGATCTGTCTCATGTGTGGGACGGCCAGGACTTTTCCCCAGTTCGGTGCTGGACCTGAGGAGGCAAGAGCAGGGGAACACCTGCACCTACAGCTGTGTTTTCCCTCCAGCATCTCTTTGGTCTGTGCTGTTCTAGGGCTGCTCAACCCCCTGGACAGCCCCCACCACATGCGCGTGGACGAGGACTCGGAGTACCGGGAGGGCGTCGTGCTGGACCGGCCAACAAAGCCAGGCAGAGGCTCTTTTGTTAACTGTGGGATGAGGAAGGTGTGTCTGTTACCCACAGACGCCAAAACAACTTTCCTTGTCTCCCTGGCAGATTTGAAGCGGGTAGGGTGGGTGTTGCTGGGTTTATGAAGGCTGCAGTGGGCTGGCAAGGGGTTTAAGGCTGTTGTTGTCTTGTTCTTTCTGCCTTGGCAACATTTGTGGCTTCCCAAGCCCCAGCAGGCCCCGAGCATTCCAGCAGGTCATTGCTTTACTGCTGAACCTTTGAGTAGCAAAATAAGCTTCAGACTTCAAACTTTCAAGCCCTTAAGACACACAGAGCTCCTCATTCCAGCTCCAGGCCGGAACAGACCCCCACTTCCTCAAAGGATTCCCTTCTTTCCCCACCTTTCCCAGTCCTTTTAGAGTGTCTGGTGCTGATGGTGACTGTCACTGCAGGAGGTGCAGATTGACAAACAACTGAACCCTGGTCTGCGAGTCACCGTGCACCTGAAGGAGCCTCAGAATCCAGGTAATCCATGGCTCCAGTAGCATCTGCAAACTTCAGTCCTGCAGGAGCTGGTCCTTCCATATGACAGGTTTGAACAGTTCTGCATGTTCCCTTCACTCCATACACGAATTTAGTAACACTGTTAGCATGCCTCCCTCAGTAACGGGAAAGAATTGACATCTCTTTGACCAGCAATAAACAGCCCAAACACACTCAAGCTTTCCAGAACTCACCAAATTTCCAGAATACTTTTTCACATTCTGGAAAAAGATTGGGTGATGTTGCACAGCCAGTCAGTGCCCTGTTCCAGGAGAAACTGCTGGCACTGGCTAGTCAATCTCACCAGATCACAGGGGCTGTTAAACTAAACCTCTTTGATTTCTTTCAGAAGCCAAAGTGCGGAAAGGCACCGTGGTGTCCTCGCACCATCCCCGGACAGTCTCAGGCTTGTACTGGGGTTACAGCGTCCGCCTGGCCTCCTGCTTGAGTGAGTATCCACAGAGATTCTCTGTCTGGGCTTCCTCACCAGTCTCAGGCTACTGACTCATGCATCTCTGTCCTGGAAATCTCCTTGTCTGAAGGGCAGCTTACACGTGCAGCCAGCAGCCATGTGGCAGTCAAATTTTAGGGCTGAAACGAGGCATGAACCACCCCAGCCACCCTCCAGGACTCTGCCCTGTAATCTTCACTCACCATTGCTCCAAGTGGAGCAAGAGCAGGAGATGGTGCCCTTCTCTGTTTCCATGGTAACTGCATCCCACTCATTCACATCAGAGCCAGAAGTGGAATTTGAGTTCAAGAGACCTGGAAAATTCTTTTCCTATCTTCTGGTTGATTTGACCTTGTAGGGAGACCGTGAGCTGTGAGGGGGCAGTCCCTGTCACCTGTCTTGAGCTTTAAGGAAAAGGATGTGGGAGACTCTTGCAGCAAGGGAATTATGTAGGAAAGAGGAGGCATTTTGTCTCCAGATGCACTTTTGGCACTGAAAACAAGTCCTTCTCCTGCCAGCACTCAACCATGGAGTGTTTCAGCCTGTCCAGAAGGCACATGGGACACAGCAGCAGTAACCCCAAACTCTGTTTTCCAGGTGCTGTCTTTTCTGAGTGCCCATTCAAGGAAGGCTACGATCTCTCTATTGGGACTTCAGAGCGGGGCAGCTCCGTGGACCAGGTCACTCTGCCCTCCTTCAGGTTTGTGTCCTGCCTGCTTGGCCCTACTCAGAGCTCCCAGTGAGGGTGGTGCAGGCAGCAGAGCAGGGGAAATACCCCAGAACAAGGTCAATTATTTTCCTGTTTCTCTGGAGTTGGTAGCAGGGACTGTCACGTTGGCCAGATGCTGTGGGGCTTTGGTGGGGAGGCAGCTGCAGTGGGCACCATCAGCAACAGCTCCCTGCTTCAGCAGCACACAGGAGCTTGGACACAGACCTAGACAGTCTGCCCTCTCACCCTGTCCTTGTGCTCTCCCCAGGCATGCCCTTGTTGTGTTTGGAGGCCTTGAGGGCTTGGAAGCTGGGGTTGATGTGGACCCAAAGTTGGATGTCACTGACCCAAGTGTCTTGTTTGACTTCTACCTGAACACGTGTCCCAGCCAAGGCAGCAGAACCATCCGGACAGAGGTAGGGCTGATGGTACTGGCTGTGCACAGGGCAGTGCTGGGTGTCTGCCTGTGGCAGAGACACACATGGCCCAGGTATGCTCTGACTGGCCTGGCTCTGCTGCAGGAAGCACTGCTGATCTCTCTCTCTGCGCTGAGACCACACATTGAGGAGGCTGTGAAGACACCCAGAGACAGCTGAGGGAATGGAAACCATTGACCTGCCCTTGGGGAGGTGGCTCTTCAAAGGTGGGGTGCTGGGCAAGTCGCTGCAGGAGCGCAGCAGGACCAAGGCAGTGAGACTGGAGGTGGCAGTGCTGCCCAACCAGGCATTCACTACTGCTGGGAGCAGCAAGTCTGTGCCCTCCTGCCTGCATGTCCAGCCAAGGGCTGCTTGCTGCTTCCCAGCAGTTGGCACGAGCCTGGCAGCAGACTTGGTCTCACCAACTCAGACATCTGGGGTGGGAATAAAGCAGTATAGAACCACAGTTGCTGTGAAATCCAGGTGTGTCTTGGTGTAGGCACACTCAGTGCCTCTGGAGCTGTAGCCTTTAGACTGAAATGAAGTCTGAATCTGATCTTGCCTCAGCCTGACTTCCCCCAGCCCCCCTTCAAGGCTTCATCCTTCCCAGCAGCAGGAAGGGCTGGAGCTTCAATTGAGCCTCAGCACTAAAACACATCATCAGTCTGGCTCCATCTGTGATGCCTTAAGCTCTGCCTACAGTGAGCCCAGACAGGAAAGCAGCTGGAAAAGTTGGCTCCATCCTCCCCTACTCCTGCTGAGATATTCAGAGCTTTGGTGAGAGCAGATAAGAAACAACCAATACCATGGGTGTTCAAAGCTTTACTGCTAAAACCATCTTCTGAAAAAAAACAATGGTACAGTTCTTTGGCCACAGGAAGGCAGGAACTTCTCTCCTCCCTTGGCACCCATCTTGCTCCCTTCCTTCCCTGCTAAACAGCAACAGTTAGTGACTTCCCTTTGTGCCTGAGTGAGCCTCACACAACTCCAAGGCAGCAGTGGTGCCCTTGAGCCTCCTGCCTGACCACTCTGGAGACCTGTTGTGTGTCTGTGTTTCAGTTAGGCACAAGGGGAAAGGTAGAGAGAAACACATGTTTGAATCTGAATTCCCACATTTACAACTGCACAAGGAAATAATTCTGCAGGTGACTGCCAGTCCCTACCTGGATTTGTTCTGGTCAGGGTTCAGTGCTTTCCAGCTGTGATGGCTTTCAAGTTACTTGTTCTCCTGAGGATGTTTGGGACAAAGAGGAGCCCTGAGGCTCGCTCAATGCTCTCAATGGGAACCAGGAACCGTTCCAGGGGGATTTTATCATCCACAGGGCTGTTGGGCATCACGTAGGAGCGCAACTCAATCTCCCCACTCTCCTTTTCCAAGATGAGCACCTTGAAGAAATGGGTGGGGACAGCCACATTGTTCTTCCCAATCACCTGGTACTTCACATACATCTTCCCATCAGCCTCCATCCTGCACCAACAGCAACATCCCAGGTTATCTCCTAGTTTGGTGTCACTCCACCCCCTCAGTCCTCCAACACCCCCTAACTAAGCCCCCACCAACACAAGGCAGCAGCTCTGCTGCAACAGGCCTGTAAAGCATGGCTGGGGCAGCAGCTGTGTGACATGGTGAGGGTGAGCTGTGCATTGGGGCTGCTCCCACATCCCCTCCCTGCTGGCTCTCTTTAACAGACTTCCCAAGCTATTTCCTGCTGCTGAAGAGATCTCAACATGAGACATCTGTTCTTTGGTGCTATGTGGAGATCTTTGAAAATAAAGCTGTGTCCTTCAGTGGAGAAGCAGTCCATGACACTGAACCTGAAAGCTTTATTCTGCAGGGATGGGGTCTGCAGTGTAATCTGGTAATCACATCATCTAAATTGTTAAGGACTGCAAACAAAACCAAGATGGTTATACTGCAGCTCAAGAATCCTACTTGACTCATGAAATAATCATCTAGATGGGAAATACATAAACTAATCCTAATCCTAAAGTACCTTTCCACAGAACTTCTGCACAGCTGGTCTCACCTACTGAGAGGGCCCTTAGTTGATCCCTCCTGTCTGGTCCCTTAGCCTGTTTTCCTTTGCCAGCAAGAGACATCTGCTGGGTGCCTGTCCAGCTCAGCCCTCATGTTTACCTGGGCAGGAAGAGGGGTCCTGTGCAGACGTAGACATTCCTGTTGTTTCTTGCTAAGCTTCTGCAGTACTTCTCAAGGTTATTCCAGGCATTCTGGTTTAGATGAGGATTCTAGAAACACAACCAGTAGTCAGTTGCTGGGGTATTTCCTCACTGTTCAGAGTAACACCACCTGCCTTTTCTGTAACACATCGCACAGAGCCCCAGGCACTTTCCACGTGAGATCTCCACTATCACCTCTGCTTTGCCAGCTGTGGTGGCCTTATTTGCACACCCAGCACAGAACCCATTGCCTAAGGCCGCAATTTTTGCAAGTGTTCATCTACCTACTTAATTCTGCTCCTGACTGGAGCTGCACTGAATGGGGTCTCTCTTTCTTGGCTTGACAGGCACAGAGGCAGGTGCATTTGCCGGATCCCCGTTGTTAAATTTAGCAGGAAACACGGCACCTCCGAGTGACTTTGGCCCCTCTCTGCCTGAACTGCTGCAGGCACAAACACAGCGACGCTCCCGGAGGGAGCAGCGTCTGCCCTTGAACGCAGGCAGCTCCGGCTTCCCCCGCAGGCCCGGGGCCGTACCTGCGGGGCGATGTTGCTCAAGTAGAAGGTGTCCCGCATGGCCTTCTGGCTCCACTTGTGGTTGGCGGCGGCGGCCAGGTGCCCGCGGTCGAAGCCGCTGCCGCGGTAGTCGGCGTTGGTGGCGCGGTGATACTCGTGCACCGAGTCGTCCTCCTGGAAGTCGCAGGCGGCGCGGTCCGAAGCGCCGCTGAGCGTGTCCCGGTTGAGCTGCTCGATGACCCAGAGCGCGCTGCGGCTCCGCGGGTCGTAGCACAGCAC